ATAAACTACTCAGACTCATTAATTTTCTCGTAAATTGTTATTAATAAATTAAAGCGAAGCAGATGATATCGTAAAAAAATTTTCCAGGCTGATTGTAATTCATAGTAACCATATTTTGAAACATATATCTAGTAATGGATTTCATTTAAATTCGGCTAYACCACGAAAAATGAATATAACTACTTATAGGATTAACTCAAATATTSAAGTATTTTCATTCGCTTAGAGATGTTCGCTAAAGACAAAGCGTGTGATCAAAGCTAATAATTATTTTCCGACAAAATTAAATACACAGCTAGTCACGGAAGAATAGTAATATTCAAAATACGGAAAAGATGATGATGATGATGATGACGTTGATGAATGGTGCTGATGATCAAGCGAAATCTAGTTCTTCTTCTTTTATCACAGGTAACCCAAGCTTTGTGTTTGTGCAGTGTATTTGCGTATTTTAAATTTTCTAAGGAATTCTTCAATAAAGTTGAACAAGGCCTTGATTGATTTTTCTATTAGCTATTTGGTTTACTGTATTTGGTCCCGGGCAAGTTTTTCTATGGTTTGTTTACCCTAAGCCGTAGCATTCACATACCATGTCATCAAAAGAATATTAAGTCCCTCTATTTCCCTTGTTCACTGTCCGTCTGTCTGTCCGTGTTGATTGGTCGAGGAAGATTGGTTACGAGTTTCGTCCCTTCCTCCCCAGCCGTCTCCCCCAGGGACTTTCAGTGACTCGTATCCAATCTTCCTCGACCAATCGACACGGACAGACAGACGGACAATGAGCAAGGGACTAGAGGGACTTGCAGTCTGAATCAGAATCGAGAAAATTTGCAATTTGAGGTGTCACTTAGTATGAATTTCCAGGCCACCAAATGAAAAAAAATATCGTGTCACTGAATAATCAATCAAACACGTATTAGCAACGTTACTCGCCGCGTTAATTCATGAGTTTTATATTTTTATTCCAAAGGCGGGAATGTTTTTATTCACGTGGGTTACTTTTCGCAGGCTCCATGACACCTCAGCCGGCTTTCCAAAATTGGGAATTTTCTTGATAATTCTGATTGGCGAAAATGTTTATGTTTATTATTATTTTGATCAGTAGACAAAGACACTAGAGAAAAACGTTTACGCATGAGTGCATTTCAGCATAATTTTCTTAGAAGAGTTTCAGTGAGTTTAATTTCTCCGAGAAAAAATGTCGCGAGTATTACTTTTGTGAGACCAAGCTAAGATACTGTAGTAACAAACACATTATAAAAGAATTGGCCTTATTAAGTTTTGGTATTTTGTGAATTCCTGAAGATCAAGTTTCAGTACAACATATTTTTACATAAGCGTTTTGACTAATTTCCATACGGATTTAGAGCATACGCAAACGTTTTTCACTCATGTCAGAGGGAGATAGCAATCTCGTACCCAGAGCCAACCTTCCTTTGGTCAGTACCGAGAAACAAGAGAACGAACATTTCTTGGCGCCGACCAAGAGGACTGTGGGCTCTGGGTACGAGTTTCAGGAAGATAGTCAAGTAAGCTGGGACCAGGGGACACGGCGAAATAAATTATTTCTTGGTCTTCCTGTGGTATATATATTGGTATATAAATGTGCGCCGCCACTCAAGGGAGCACGGCAGAAATAAATTTGTTGATTGGTCTTCCTGTTGCATCGAGGTGTAGTGTCGAATACGGTTTTCCGCGAAAAATATGGCGTGGGCTAAACCCGGCTAAACGACGCGTTATTTGTATCATCCGCCATATTTTTTTACTTATGAGCCCGCGCGACTTTTAAGAAAACCGCAAACGCGTCCATACCACAGGAAGACCAGTCAATGAAATTATGTACCACAGGAAGACCAATAAGCAAATTTATTTCTGCCGTGCTCCCTTCTGCTGAGCGGTAAACGCGGCAGGCAAAGCATGAGTGGACAAAAGTAGGCGGCCCTAATAAGCATCTTTGGAGCTTGAAAGACCGAAACAAACATGGTTGTCAAGTGAAATCGTTTTTATTCTTCCTTTCCATATTTCTGCTTCTTGTAGGTACGTATATGATATTTTAAAGACAAAATGAAAACAAACAAACAAACAAAAAAAGAAAAAAAACCCCAGAAAAATACGCAGACGTTGGGTGTTTCGGTAGCTGGGGAATGAGCGCCGGCGGCAAAACAGCTAAACGCACTTGGATTGGTTGAAACAAAATTTACCGCTCAACTGGTTGACCATCCGTTGATATTACTTGCCCCCATGCTAGTTTTCGCGAAAAACCAAGTAAGGTTAGCAACGTGCCAATACCACAGGAAGACCAAAGAACTAATTTGATTCTGTCGTTCTCCCTTGATAAGGTAGTCTCCCCCACATCCGCTTTCAGTGTCGTCACGCAACGCTTTCTCCCATGGGAGAAAGCGTTGCGTGACGACACTGAAAGCGGCTGTGGTGGAGACTATTGATTAGGAGACCGGCCGAACTTCATTCGAAGGAAAAACTTATGTTTCTACTTTATGACCTGCCAGGTAAAATTTAATGTGCACACTCACCAAGCTTCGAAATGGCGTCGTTTTACGTTTTAGAATAGCCTGCGGTTTCTGGACGAACTGCTGTAGTTCAAACTTTGATTTATTCAATACATCACCGACATCCTAATATTAAGTTAGATAATCGACAAGACAGTACGGCCATACGCACTAAAAACGTTCTCTACTATGTATATCCGCTGACCAGCCACCACGGAAAATATAACCTGACACAGGGTTCCCGCATGTGGCAACACCAGGTTTGTCTTACCAAATACTTCAAATGGAATTACTACTATGATCAAATATCCGACTTGCCGTTAGTTTTTGTTTTTTTGTTTTGGTATTGTGTTGTTGTTTTTTGCATGGATTGACAGCTCTTTTATACTGAAGTGAAATGCCGCTTTCCTTTTACAAATATCTATGTTCTTATCAAATGGCGGCCATTTTGCTGATGACGTCATATTCTCAATACTCACCAGTATACGATTATAAGCTACGCCTCAGCCCAATTTCAATAAAAAATTAACCTAATTTAGTATTATCATAGTACTTTGGCTTTTTAAATATATACTATAATGATCAGTTGTCATAGCAACAACCTCGATTCGAGAGGTTGCCATAGCAACCACAGTTTGTGTAATCAAATACTCAGAAATATAAGGAATTCTACGTTGAAGCAAACTGTGATTTGAGAAAAGTTGAGAATATGAAGTTGGCCTCTTTAATTAGCATAAACTTAAAAGTGGAATATATTTCTCAAACAAAAACTTAATGCTAACTATCAATGAGCCCTCGAGCACGAATGGTCTATTAGTCAGTCAATAGCCCATGAGGCCGAAGGAGCTATTGACTCATAGGTCATGAGGGCGAGGACTAACTSTTTGAGTCAAATCTAACTAGTCAGTTAAATATATAGACGCAAACAAAAGTCAAATTCAATTTTKTAACAACCAAGGGCCTTGCCCATGATGTTTTTGGTTTCAAATGCTTATAACTTTGAAGGGATTTCATATATGACAACACAAATCTCAGAAATTACTAATTTAAGCATGGCATTTCTTGTAATGAAAAAATAATTTTGAAGACATTATTGTTCATGGTGCTTGTTCCCAGTACTTCACTCTTTTTTCATATGGCCTATTCTCTACTTTCACATCCCCATAATGCCTTGCGTCTAGCTTTGAGGAAAACAAATCAAAAAGGCAGTCCCAAATTGAAAGGTTTCTTAATTGAATTTATACTATACCTGCTTTTATCTGTACAATATTTATTATCAGTTTATTCCAAGTTATTTTTGCATGTACAGATCATCAAGAGTTTTGGTCTTACAGAAAATGTATTGACTTACGAAAAAAGGTTTAAAATTTACCTTAAACGTCTTCAAGCTTCTATCTTTTTCTATTTTTTACTTCTTCATTTTATTTTTGGATACCGAACAAGGTATTGTCAACATTGTCTGATCAGCCTTCAGCAAAATAAGTGGGTTTTTACCCTCTGGTTACTCCCCAAAGACGCTAAGTATTATGGGGATGTGAAAGTATGAAATATGAATAATGCTAGTTTSCTGTACTTTAATTAACAAGATCTTTAATAGTAAAATTTGAAGAATAAAATTTGACTATAGTAGCACTCTTCCGTCTTTTTTGACTGACGTCATTGACACCATGCACTTGGCTGATCACAGTTAATCTGGTAAAAAGTTTTATGAAAGCTGGTATGAAAATAACCATTCAGTTCAAAAAGTTTGTTATAGGTTGATTGGGTTTTAGTTTGATTGGGTTTCCTCTGGATTCTCAGTTTTTTACTCCCTCTTTATAAACCTAGACATGAAAATTCAAATTCAATGAGTTGACTGTGCCATGACTAAGATCAGCACAGAGATTGTTTCAGGGTTCAATTTGTGAGTTAGCCATGCCCTGACTTTGATCAGCCCAGAGGTTGTTTTATGGTTCAATCTTTGAGTTAGCTGTGCCCTGACTTAGATTTGCCCAGAGGTTGTTTCAGGGTTCGACCTTTGACTAGGCCATGCATAATGAATGGCCACATGTGACTCATTGGTTTGTCCAGTCTAAAAGAGGCATTTGACCAATGTTGGACAGACATTGTCTGCTGAGAAGCTGGTGTTTATTTTTTAGCTTTTGATATTTATCAACAATATAACCCATGCCCCACGTTAAAAGGCAGGTTTGGATACTGGTGGGTGTGTGGCACTACCTGAAACCTATAGTGGCTTCACTGCTGGGCACCACATGAACATCACCAGATGTCAGCAAATGGTCTTCATATAATCTTAGGTATAAAGAGAGGAATGAATGACTTGTTTCTCTATCTCCATTAGGGGATGCTGATAATCTAAGTCTGTAACCACATAACCAGGAAAACAAAAGGACTTTGGAAGCTTGAGGCACAGGCATATTTCTTGCATAAAGTGGGGTAGTCAGGTATTATCCATGTGTAACTATTGGCACTGCTAAGTTGATCTTTAAAACGTTTCTGAGAAATAACGATGAACAATAATCATCAAAAATGAATAAAATAAGTTAAATATTATTATTAATTCAGATTGATAACAATCTGCAGATAATACATTTATTATGTCAAGTTCACACAAGGGAGCACGGCAGACATAAATTTGTTGATTGGTCTTCCTGTGGTAATGACGTATGCTGATGAATACAGTTATCCGCGAAAAATAGCGTGGGCTCAAGTAAATATCAAAGATGGCGGCATATATAATATTGACGGGGAATGCAACTTTTTCAAACTTTTCGACAATGCAACGTCAGGTTGCCAGGGCCACTTTGGTTGCCAGGGCCATTTATATTTATCATCCGCCATATTGTTTACGTATGAGCCCGCGCGACTTTTAAGTAACCGCATGCGCGTCTATACCACAGGAGGACCAATCAATGAAATTATGTACCACAGGAAGACCAATCAACAAATTTATATCTGCCGTGCTCCCTTGGTTCACACGCTATTGGGGATTGGCTAATTGATCTCAGCCAATCAGAGGCAACCTAGCGAGTACAATGTATATTTTAAAAAGAAACTTTAAAAGGAAAGAGCGATTTATCTATATATTTATCATACTAATTTAGAAATTAATTTCATTTAAGGACAGACTAACTAGGATTCATTTTACAAAATATGAACAAGCAAAAACACCTAGATCTGAATTCTATATCTTAGAAAATACTTAGATGTCAATGAAAAAATTGGGGAATGAAATATTGTGATTGGCTGAAGTCAACTTAGGATCTCCTGCCTGATTGGCTACAGTTGTCACTCTATGTAGTGATTGGTTAACTTTGTAAAAGTGGTCCTAGTTAGAGTGCCTACACTGCAAACACAGGGAGCAAGAAAACGACCAAAGATTAAGGTTACAAATCAATGTATTCATGCATATGTACCTTTACATCTCTTAAAGTAGACTTTAATGTCTTCAAATCCTCCTTGRTTGCAACTACTCCATTTATCAATCTGTCACTTCTCTGGGCAAGGCAAGACTCAATTTAATTTGTAATGTGTACTGTAAGTGAAGACATCTTATCCTGCAAAAGCAATTGATAATAATTTATTTACTTGTGGTATTTTTCTCGACTTTTCAAAAGCCTTCAATTGATACAGTAAGACATCAGATACTATTGCAAAAACTTGAAAGATATGGCATAGATGGTTGTATTGCTTTAGATTGGTTTACAAATTATTTATCCAAAAGGGTGCAATACATGTATGTAACAACACATAAGATAATGAATCATCCAAACAATAAATTAAATATGGAATTCCGCATGGATCTGCTCTAGGACCATTACAATTCCTCCTTGTTCTAGTCTGCTATTATTCAAAATAATTGAAGAAGACACAATTATTCTTGCCTCCTCAAAAAATATTTCTCAACTATAAAAAACCCTAGTTAATACAGAATCAATTGAAGTAAAAAAATGGTGTGATACAAACAATTATCCATCAATTTTAAAAAGACCAACTTTGTGATAATAAAATCATCAAGAAAAAAACATGGGAATGTTGAACATGAAAATATCAAATCAATCTATTACAAAAACTGACCATATTAAGTACTTGGGTGTCATGATTGATGACACCTTATCATGGAATTATCACATCTC